ATTTCCACGAATGCGTAATTTGCCTTCCCACACGAGTTGTGTACTATACTTTTTCTACGACCACACTCTGTTCGCCTTAAAAAAAAATAAAAAATAAAAACTCCCAAAAATTTTAATTTATTTATGCTAATGAACCACTTACATTTCTTTATAGTAATTATTAATGGTAACTGTACAATTATAATTATTAAACGTAAGGGAAGGATTTGCATTTTCTTTATTACAATTGACAATTATACTATCGTGGTTTACCGACTGGTCCACATTAATAGTTTCAGAATCATTAAATACAGAAGTTTCTCCACTTTTTTTATTGCAATTGGCTAGTATACTATCAATGTTTCGAGCCGGATATACGGTAAATTCTCATATAACTTGTTTCGATGCTGTATCCACTTATTTTTGTGAAAACTAATTCTCGCTCAAGGTTTTTTTTAGTGTAATGAGCAAGTAGCATTTTAAGGTAATGGGAACTTAAATTATGACAACCCTAATCTATTAATTTTTTCCTAAAATGCAGGCTTTATGTTGCAAATGTCACATAAGTTACCGGTCACCAACTGCAATATCCTAACATTGATGAATATTTTAACAAAATGGCTGTTGAAACAACTAATGTTAGTGCTTGATTAACTCAATATAGACTTAATTAAGATTGACGAAAAATTCTTTTATCCGAAATCGGCAGTAAAGTAGAACTTTACTGCCGATTTATTTTAATTTACGATTGTTGACTACTTTACTGCCGATTTCGGATAAAATAATTTTTTGTCAATCTTAAGTCTATTTTTAGTTAATCAATCACTAACATTAGTTGTTTGAACGGTCATTTTGTTGAAATATTCATCGATGTTAGGATATTGCAGTTGGTGACCGGTAACTTATGTGACATTTGCAACATAAAGCCTGCATTTTAGGAAAAAATTAATAGATTAGGGTTGTCATAATTTAAGTTCCCATTACCTTGAAATGCTACATGCTTATTACACTAAAAAAAACCTTGAGCGAGAATTAGTTTTCACAAAAATAAGTGGATACAGCATCGGAACAAGTTATATGAGAATTGACCATACATTAGCAGCAGTTTCAGATTCATTATCTTCCTTATTTTTTAACGAATCATCCACATAGCCTTCAGCTATAGTGGATGACATCCCCCATGTCTTTTCAAAGCCAAAAGGTCCCCACCAGCATCTACAAGGATGGTTGCAGACGATCGTCTTAAGTGTCCCGTATAAAGTTCTATATTTGGTAGCCCCAGAAATTCGGCAATATTTTTTGGTACACTTCCAATTTTATTTATACCAACGGGTTGCTTGGTACATTTTTCGTTTATGTAATTTAAAAAGAAGGGCAACTTATTAGTATCTCCACCTGAAGGTCTTAAACTAAGGTACTTTTTACAAATTGGATAAAATTCGTCTGATATAACAAACGAGCGACTTGTTTTTGTTTTAGATTCAACAATCTTAACAATAAAAGATTTTCCAGTATTTTCTACATCTTCTGTCTTTATGTTTCTTATTTCTTGTCTCCTACATGCACCACAAATACCAAAAATTAAAATTACCTAAAATAAAATGCTTAATTTATATTTAAAGATATTTATTAGCTCGTACCTTCATAAGCAAATATTTTCGATCTGGTGCATTCTTCAAGAAAGTATTAATTTGTTGTGAATTAAGAACTTTTGACTTTTTACTCTTGAAACCATCGGACTTTCTTTTAAGTAATGCTTGTAATTTTGAGTAAGAAGCAATATTTATGTCATGATTAATGCTTATTGTTGATTTTAACATAGAATATGTAGCCCATAATGTTGATGGTTTCATTGTGATTGAAAGTTGTTCAAAATAAGCAAGTAAAACATTTTCTGAAAATGACTGGATTTTATTGCTGGTTCTCCATTTCATAAATTTGTCATAATTAGTCTCGTATCGTTCGCGAGATTTAACAGGTAGTAAATTTTTGGTGGCAGCTTTTGCGCTATCAACAATCTCAGGTGGTGTACATAAACAATCCTGATCACTCGACATATCTGCTGTAAATAGAATATTATTTTAAAATAATTACGGTTTTATTTCAAAATTACTTTAATCGTGAAAATCTCAATTTTTTTGATAATTCTATGTAGTTTATTACAAAATTTTTTTGTTCAAGTTTCATCGCCGTACACTGACAGTCGTCAAATATTGACAGTTCACAGCAGCTTTACCAACATAACCTTAATAATATAAACAGAAATCCCCAGAAAAAAACAAAATAGACAGAAAAACCCTAAAAGTGTGTTTTTTTATTACCATTACGCACGTGTGCGTAATGACTAACTTTCAGTTATTAAGACTTTTACTGTAATGATCAAATTACATAGTGGTCGTAGAAAAAATTACTTTCACAACTTACAGGCAACATACTTATGACTAGAGACCGGATAAATAAGCACAATTTAAAAAAAAAAAAGTGCTTAAAAAAGTATCAAAATATTAAATAAAAAGCTCTTAAAAAGCATGAAATTTGCCAAAAAAGCACCAAATAAGCAAGTTAATTAAAAATAATTAATATATAGAGGCAAAAAAGTTGTAATAATCTTAATATTGGTGTTTATTATTTAAATGATACATTTTATTATTTTTACATTATATCTATTATTAAGACCTAAAGGAATGTATAACTAGATGTTTCTCCAAATTTTCTATAGTAAAATTATGTCTTCTGTCTGTTAAAATGTTTTTGTATGCAGAAAAACTTCGCTCCACATCCACACTGGTTATTGGGGCATATTTAAATTTCGGGATAATGGCTGGATCCATTTCAAAATCGGAATCTTGCCCACCAATGAAAATAGATATTCTTTTCAATGTTTGGATTTTCAATGTTTGAATTTTTCGAGAGAGTCTGGACCAATTTTTCTTTAATTGTTTGACCAATAGATCCTGGAATAGTATTTACTGCAGCTTCAAAACTTTTAATAACATTGACGGATTCCAATAAAGGTGGCTGTTGTTTTTCCAATAGCTGAATACTCTGACTTACAAATTTTTAAAATGACTTTTAATAAAAGCTAAATTGTGTGCAAGTTCAGGTATTTTTACAACTTCCTGACATTCTTGAACTGCTTTGATTTCTGTGCCTTTAAATTCAAGTAACAATCGGCATAGTACATGGCAGCATCTAGCCAAGTTCCCCATCTTGTTACAAATGGTTCTGGAGGTAATGGAACATCAGGCAATCTGTCTTTAAAAAATTGTACTCTCAATGGAGCTTTTATGAATATTTTTGCCATTTTTTATTAATGTGTTGACCAACGGATACTGCAAATAATCCCATACTAGATTGATTAAAATAAAAAAACACTATCTAGGCGGCTTTTTATTGAAAGGAAACCATTACAGTATTGGGTAGAGAAAGTAGAATGTAAATTCGAATGATATTTTAGAAATTAAAAGTTGTATTTTATTCAATTTATTTTATTTCATCCTTAAAATTTTCATTTATACCTTAAAGTAATTAAATTTAAGTCAAAAAGGAAATCTCTTCAAAACCATAAAATAAAATCAGTAATTTTTAACAATAAATAAATACTATAATTTTACTTACAGTTTTAGAACATGCTTGACAAAAGACCTTTTTATTGTCAATTTTTAGTTACTTGTGACCACTAATCCACTCTTCAATGGTTGGCTTTTGTTTTGGCATTGTCTAAATAATTACCACGTACAGAAAATAAAGCGCAAGCACAATAATAGAACCCCGTAGCGTATCGTGTATCTTAACTAAACATTAAAAAGCACGCTACACAGTAGCTTCTTCAGATCGAATACTAACTTATATTAATTTACTATTTATATAAATGATGGTTTTAACAGGTAACATTTTTAGTACAATATTGGGGGTAGATTAAAGGAACAATAATTATGGGAATGCCCTGTAATCTTTATAGTTATATAACACTAAACTATTTGAATATATTAAATTAAATTTAATAACGGGGAATTATTGGTATCAATTTGGTCATTAAAATAATATCAGTTTTTTTCCTTTAATTTGTTAATTTTCATAGACTCTAATAAATTTAGTTTCATACTTTTGTTTTCTATATGTAAGATTTTGAAGTTAGAATTAAACAGTGTAGTTTATATTAACATATTATTAACATGGAGTTTCATCAAGTAAAAGTCGAAACAATTAATTAAAAAAAATGTATAAAAATATGGAAAAAAGTTTCTATTTAAAGAAAATAATCATTTAATAATTATTAAAATTAAATATTAACAACGTTGATAAATTCGTCATATTGACAGCATAGAAAAAGGTTGACAAGCTGTGTTTTATAATCTGTGGTTTTCGTTTGTCTATTTCTATCGTGTTTTATTGAGTTTAAATACATTATTTTTTACTAAAAATGGTGCGACAATGTACTGTTTGTAAAAAAACAAACCATTGAAATCCAAATCTATCCTTAAGGATTTCATAGGTAAGTAAGCAAAGTTTACATATCATACGTCACTGGAAGAAAACATAAAATTCTATATCCAATTTAACGCTTAGACAGTGACCGTTTGTTGACGTCACTGGAAGAAAACATAAAATTATATCTCCAATTTGACGCTTAGACTGTGACCGTTTGTTGACCGCAAACAAAGCATTGTTATCGAATGGCAATGCGCCGTCCATTTTTTTTGGTGGTCTGTGTAAAAAACAGTATATTGCGCAACGAGTGGAGAAAATGTTCGATTATGAACGAGTCGTTTGATGCGAGCGTGGCAAGAATACGACCATTCTTCACGAGTTTTACATATTATTTTGTACCAAAATCAAACCAAAATTAAATATAAATTAACACTTTTGTAGAAATTATTTGATCTTAATCGTATAAAATAACAACATTTAACTTTTTTTCTTAATGAACGCAATCTTCGTCAGACCAATTTTAAAAAGCAGTTTGCCCTAATTTGATTATACAAACCGGTTTAAACGAAGCATTTAATTTTGCCACCGACCTTTTTGAACCTCGTGCTTGGAAACTTGGACGTGTATGTGGTTTCCGTCCTCCCTGCGCCAGAGGATCCTCGGTTCCGGATGTCCCTTCGCGCTGCAGCTGAGCGTGACGTTCTCCTTCTCTGTCACCGTCACGTCGCTCGACGTACCCTCGTCCTCGATGTCTGGAGGCACTGCAAAAACGAACGAAAATAAATTCGGTTATTTAATTTGTCAAGACTCCCCCGGGTTTCGTCATACTTAATTCTCGGTACATTTAAAAAATATAAATTGGTTTGAATTCGTTATCTACTTCACACGGTGTTTAAGTCACATAAAAATGCCGCCAAAAACTGATTGCAGTTTCTTGTTCGGGACCCTTTGGTGACTTAAAAATTATATTAACTAAAATCCTAGCTGCTCCTTTTTTCGAAATTTTTTAACAATTGATGATTTTTTTTTAATTTTCTTTTTATTTCAAAGTCTACCTTTGACAGAGTTAAAGATGTAAAAAAACGGTTTTTTTTCAGATGTGAAAAAAACATGAAAAAAAACCTAGAAAAAAACGGTTTTTTTTGTTTTTTTCAAAATGAAATTTTGAGTAAAATGTAGAATATATTACATTTTTTATTATTGAAAATTTTGACAAAGATTAAAAATCTGATTTCTTATTATTTGGTAGTTTCCACATTAAAAACCAATAGCAATATAAAACTTCTACACTAATACAAAAAATTAAAGGATAATTTTTTTTTGCGATTTTTCGGATAGCTGTATATTTGTTAAAAATGATCGTATTTGAGCGTAAAAAAAGCAATTTGAAGCTTAAAGTTTATAGTTTTGAGATATTTAGATGAAAAACGTGCAACGCTTAATTCTAATAAATACCGTAATAAAAAAAATCGATTTTTTTTATTTCTTTTTTAGTCCATGGAATGTTCTGACCACCAATATATAAATGTTCTACAAGAATTTGCTATTGTTTTTTGAAAAAAAAATTGAAAAATCATGAAAAAAGTGCTTTTGGTAGCTTTTTAAAAAATCAAGCGCTGAATCAAAAATATTATATGTAGTTACTTTTTTAGGACCAAATCAAAACAAGCGCGGCCCTTATTGGTCAAATCGGTGGTTGTGGCGAGTGCATAACGCGAGACTGTATTTACATTTAATAATAGTCATTTAGTGGCTAATTTTAGTCCATGGAAACATAAAAAATTAGGCAAATGGGACTAATCTTGAGAAAAAACCTAAAATGTGAAAAAAAACCATTTGAAAAAAAAACAATGAAAAAAAACCTAAAAAAAACAAAAAAAACGGACCGTTTTTTTTTTCAAGTCGCATCTCTAGACAGAGTACACATTTGTTCACCGATTTTTATAAAATTAGAGTATATTATTGAGGAGTCTTAAAGAATACTTTTTAATACAGTTCACATTATTTGATATATACAGGGTAAGCCAAAAATCGCTTATAAACCAAAAGCGTAATTTCATGATTTTGGCATAACACGAAATAAAGATTTATCTCCATTTTTTTTTAGATATTTCTACGTTTATCAGGTTACAAAATGGCATTCTTATTACCCTTTTATAAAAAAAATATATTTTTAATAAAATTAAATAAAATAACGCTTAGAGAATATTTAAAATATTGTTTAATTTAGTAGTTTTCAATTTTGAATGAAAAACTGATTAAAGTTTTGTGATCAGCACTCTTTGGAGATTTAAAAACGATATTTACCAAAATACTACACTGTTCAAAATTTTAGCTAATTTTTACCTAAAATATTAGACTATATAGGACCATTGATTTTTTAAGGCAAACTGCTTAAAATGAATTCAGAGGAATATTTCCCTTTTAAATTAGTGAACTCCTTAACTGATATTTTTAAAGAAAATGATACAATTAATTAAGCAAAATTACTTAGGTTTCAAAGATGATACACCTTAGATCGTAAGGGATATTGCCTGAGAATAAAAGAATAAATTTCCTGTTTCTAAGGCAATTTGCTTAAATTTTTAGGTAGATTTTAGCTAAGTTTTTAGGCAAATTATATATATTCTTAGTGAAAATCCTCTTATTTTTAACGGTAAATTTATCTAATTTTTTAGATAATATATATACCTATAGGTACCCTTTTTTCTGGTCATTTTCTACTAATTTTTTAGTGAAATTCTACTAACTTTCTAGTAAAATTCTATTAATTTTCTAGTGAAATTTAAGGGGAACAATAATTGGCGGTGGGGGCATTTAGGAGAGAAGATATTTATAATGTCATTTTTATTCTCACACATTGCTTTGGTAAAATACTATTTTGGAAATATACTATTGTAAATGTTAAATTTTATTGTAAAAAGTTACCGATAACCTAGTAGTGTTTATCCCTATATCGAGCAATGTAAATGAGAAAAGAATGACATTATAAATCCCCCTTTTAAGTGCTGATGGGTAAAATAAAAAATACATTTATTTTAGTTAAATTGAAAATGTATATTAATAAATATATATAAATAAAAAAAATAAAAGTAACAAAAACGAATTAGGTTTATTTTAATAATACCTACCTAATTTTTTATTTTAATAATACTTATAGGCATACCTACTTTATAAGTTTAATAAAGTTTCTTTTTGGCATAGGAATTTTCTTCCAAGTTAGGACTCCTTTATCTTTAGGTCCTAGGCGAATTAACAACGGCGGTTCCGGTACTACAGGGTTGGGAATTTTTAAAAATAAATTGGGGTCAATGGGAAATTCCATTTAGTTTGGATTACTTAGCACTACAAAATGTTCACTTATAGCACAATAATTGTTAACTACGTTATTATATTAATAGCAAACAATTGTTAACTACGTTATTATATTAATAGCACACAACGCGGTCTTTACGTTTTCGTTGATTTTGGCATTATGGTGGACAATATAGGCGCGAATATTTATTGTAAAACGTCGGTATTAGCGATCGGAGCCGATTGCAAGTAAGTCACTAATATTTAAAGGAATTTACCTAAATTAGTTCAATAATTTGCCATAATAATTTAGAAGAATTACCTAAATTAAAAGCAAAATTGTCGTACCTAAAAGTAATTGAGATTTTGACTAAATATTTTGGTAATCTGCCTATCTTTTTTAAATTTGACAAGTTTATTAAGTAAAGTATGAATATTTATCTACAAGTTAGTGAATACACCATAGAACAAAGGCATTAGTTTCTGCCTAATAAAGGAGAAGGTAAATTGCTTTACTAGTTTAAGCATATTACCTTATTTTTCCTTAACTAATTCTGATTAGGTATTTCAAAAGGCTTGATTTTGAACAGTGTAACTGCTTTTTTTCAAATTTGTTAAAAAATCATTTTTTTTAATTATTTGTTTATCGCAAAGTCTACCTTTGCCAGGGTATATATTTGTACACCGATTTTTATTGATTGCAGTTTATTTAATTTTTGTTTATCCTACCTTTGACAGAGTACACATTTGTACACCGATTTTTATAATATTGGAGTATATTGTTAACGAGACTTGGAGAATACTGTTTTCATTTCGAGCAAATCATTAGATTTATAGAGGGTTAGCCAAAAATCACTTTTTTATATGGTAAAAAGCATAATGCACAAAAAAGATTTATCTCCAAAAAATGTTATTTTATTTAATTTTATTTAAAATCAATTTTTCTTATAAAGTCTTAAGAATCCCATTTTGCCTGATAAATATAAAAATATCTAAAAAAAACATGGGTGGGTATATATCTTTTTTGCGTGTTATGCCAAAATCATGAATTTACGCTTTTGCTTTATTAAAAGAAGCGATTTTTGGCTAACCCTGTATATATTAAATGATGTGCACAGTATGAAAAAGTATTCTCCAAATCTCCTTCACAATATACTGTCAAAGGTAGACTTTAAGATAAACAAGAAACTGCCATCAGTTTTTGGCGGCATTTTTATATGACTTAAACTTCGTTCAGGCACACTGTAGCGTTTTGCAACAATTCTTTGTTTTGATATAAAAAACTCATAATGCATTTACACTGTTAGAAAATCAGATTTGTTAATATGAGTTTGTAGTTTATTATAGTGATGCCGCCGATACGAGAGAGGGCGATTTTCTCTCGAAAAAAGGCTCAAGACGAGACGAGAGAATTTCTAGTTTCTCTCGATCTCTTTCTTTCTCTCGATTATTTCAAATTTTTGCGATTTTTTCAAAATATTAAATCGATTTTAAGATTCCCGGCTTCCAAATTTCAAATGTTGCCGTTCGGAGATTATTTGCAATTGTATAATAAACAAATTTTGGTTCTGTTTAACGTTGTGTTATTTTATAACACAACTTAACGTTAACCAAGTAGGTAACAAATACTTAATATTAATAATAATTTTTATAATTTACCCGTATGCTTATTCAATAAACTTATCAACAACATGTGGTTTTTGAGGGGCTGATTACAAATTTGATATCCATTTCTTAATAAAATAAAATGGCTGATCCAATATGACGACAATTTGTCGTTCGGCTTTAATGGTTTGGGTAAAATTTAGTATTTAGATATTTATGGGGTCTCTGATTAAGAATTTGATATCCATTAAAAAAACAAAATTGCGGATTCAAAATAACGGACCAAATGCTCGACATTTTCGGCACACATTTTTTTTATTTCCAGTTTAAGTTTCTTTAGAAAAAAAATATAAACGAATTCGTATTTCATTCCAATATTATTCATATTCATACATAGCTACTTTTACCACGAGAGAAACGAGACGAGACGAGAGAAAGGTACTCTCGAGCGAGAAAAGGGTATTCTCGACGAGACCAGAGACCCATTTCCTCTCGCTGCACGAGACGAGACGAGAGAAGGACTTTTCTCGTCTCGCGGCTTTACTAGTTTGTTAAATTAATTTTGTAAAATTTTATATGTATGCATATCGTTTACCGAGCGTGGAATCATAGCAATTACTCCGGATGAGTAAGTTTTTGAGCTAGCCGATAGGCGAGTAAAGAAACTCATTGAGGGAGTAATTGCAAATCCACGCGAGGTAAATATTTGTGGAAAAGCAATATTTAGTTATCTACAGCGTTTTTTAACTTTTGGGTAAAAATTTCTTAAAAACCTCATCACTGAAGCAATTAAAACGTTTCGCATTTCGCATTCAGCGTGTCGAAATACTTTTAGAAAGTTTCTAAATTTTGTGGACCTGTT